TAGTTACAAATGATTCTGTCGCAACCTTCACATTATTGGAGTACAGGCTCCTCCAACATAAAGATTCTTGGAAATACCCATACCACCAGAGACCTGAAGCGCACCTGTAGAAGAGGATGTCGAATCTGTTGTGCATGTAACTTGGGTTATTCCTGTATTAGAAATCTTGAAAAGATAACCGACATTATTGTACAAACAATTTATACCAAAACCACCGGCAGGATTAGAGCCATCTGCTGAAGAACCAGCCACTCGAAGACCCCAAGTCACATTAGATGCCGTGTTGACTAGTGACATGTATGTTGGATTGGCGGCATTCACAATGCTTAAATAACCATTTGCAGTGAGACTTGCCAGAGACAAATTTGTTGAAGTTGTTATGCTACTTTGCTTCCCAGAAAGGAGTGAACTAACATTAGCATTTGTTGCAACATCGAGGATAGATTTCACTTGAGCGCTTGTTACATTCTCGAAACTCGTTCCCCCAGATGAATATAGCCAACTGTCAGGCTGGACAGTCATTGTGTAGATAGAGTTTGTCGTGCTATTCATGGGTTGCTTCGATGCAAGTGCTGTCGTTAGGGAATTGTTGTTGTTTGTGACAGTGGTTTGAAGTGAAGATAAGGACTGACTAATAGGATTTGTATTAGCAATAACAAACTGTTGGCTGGCTACCTCGACACCTCCAAGGTAAATCATGCCTCCTACATTCAAATCATCCTCGACAAGCAGTCCTCCTGTCATCAATCCATTTCCGATGTTATCAACATGGAACACAATATCAGAGGCGCCATTTACAATTATTGAGCCGCTTGTTGTAAGAGAAGAGATATTGAGCGCTGAGGAATTCGTTAGAATAGGTTGGTATCCACCTAGAATTGAAGAAACAGGTGTCACATTGAAACCTCCAGCCGTTCCCATGATGAAGGTATTAGGTGTAGGTGACAAGCCACTGATTGCATCGAGCAAAGGGGATGTGTTCTGCTTTGAAGCAACGGCTGTCGTAACGAATGATTCTGTAGCAACTTTCAGATTCGTGGACGCAAAGATATTACCACCGACAAATACATCTTTTCCAATACCAACTCCTCCTGGACAAACAAAGGCGCCTGTTATTGGAGAAGTTGATACGGTGGTGCTATCCAGTGAAATGTTGCCACTTGTTCCAGCAATGCTCAACCCTTTTGCGCCTAGCGCTTGCACGCGAACAGACCCACAGTCATTGCGTACCGTTAAAGTGTTCGCTCCACCATCGACCGTTCGACCTGGTCCATTAAGGAATATCGGAGCGACTCCAGTCGCGCTGGTGAGAAACAAAATAGGGCAAGCGTTGTTTCCAGTACTTGTGTTACGAATCACAAGAGAACGCAACCCGTTAACAGCAGTGCCAATGGTAAAATCGCCCTCGGCAACCGTTAAGTTTTTACCAAATGTTGACGAACCATTGGTGTCGATTCGGAGCCCAAGATTCGGCGTACTCCCCGCGCATGCAAAAATAAACATTGATGAATCTTGAGCACCGAGCCATGTTGATGCACCTGGATTATAGCCTAAAAATCCCATTCCGTCAAGACCAAACCAAGTACTCTTAGCCCCATCGAATGTGGAATATGTTGAAACGGCAGAACTGCCTGTCACTCCCGGAGCAATACTCAATCTGGTTCCGCTGATTAGTTTACCGCTGATGTTTCCTCCAAATGTAACATTATTCGATGTCAAATTCGTAATCTGACTTCCAACCCAAGGCTTGATGACTTCATCATCGTAATCCCTTAGCATCGAGAGGTTGATTGCTTGCTGAGGGTACTCATATTTGATACCTTGATAACATGAAGGCGTATCAAACAAGAGATGTGTGCACCCTCCGATGGGGTCAGATGCAATTGCAACATTCGAGCCGGGCTCTAAAGGTGGTTGACCTGTTACCGGGTCAGCCGGTTCATATATAGGATTCCCTTCTCCATCGAGTATTGGATTTCCCTCACCATCTCTTTCTACTTTTCGCTGGCGTTCACCACCAAAGACCATTCCCCAAGGGAACGTCGAGACAATTGGAAGAATCGAATTTACAGCAAGGGGAACTGTTAATGGTGGTGATACCATTGAAGGGAACGGAATTGTGGTCAACGGAGTTGCGCCAGAAAGAACAACCACATTTCCTCCCGGAACATCAGTTTTCAACACTTCAGCGGTATCACTTTGTTCCGTATTATCAGTATCTTTCTGTTTCGAAAGTGGAGTTGGGTCTATGATGGTAAAATTGTATATAGGATAACTTCCTGTGATTATAAGATTCGGACTGTTACTAATGAATTGTGGAGGAATCATATTATACTGTATCGTGTTACCCACAACTACGATACTTCCATACGAGTTTGTCAAGCCAATATAATTCCCTTTCAGCATATCACCAACTCGGAGAACGGTATCGCTTCCTGTAAGCGAACACGAAATCAGGTCTCCCGAAACACTGACACCATTTATTCCACGTAGATTCGCTGATAAAACGGCACCATTTTTCTGGAGTCCGATTCCCGCGGCGATGTTCGAACTGAGAACACCATTATTGAGGGTTAAGTCGGGACCTTGTGCCGTAAGAGATAATCTGAAATCGTTGCCCACTCGAGTTACTCCTTGAGATGCTGTAAAAGTATCGCGGATTGTATCACGACCTGACATTGCAAGCCCTGAATTAGCATCACATTTCAAACTCAACTGTATATCGTTCTGGAGTCGCTCAACTCCATTTGAGCAAGTAAGCACATCTTTAATGGTATCCGCTTTCACCATTTGGAGACAAGAACCGGCTTCACACTTCAAACTCAAGACTACATCGTTAGTAGTCCCTGCCCGAATCGAAACTCCATTAAAATCCTGGAAAATCAAACCTGAAACAAGTTGATTTCCAATGATTCGTATGGTTTGGTTGTCAACAAGTACTCCGACTTCTCTTCGATTTGAAAATTCGGGCCCTATAGCAACCGCGCCTGTTTGAGACCCTACGAAAAAGTTGGACATATAACCCTTTGAAACCACATATGAGTCTCCAAAGGCTGGCATCGTTCCGGTCAACTTCACGTTAGGAACTCGCAACTCTGAAAGTGTTGTTGAATAGGTGAATGAAGGACTTCCTGAAAAACCGTATGTTAGATTCCCATACAGGATTTGTTCGTAGCCAGGCGACTTTAGGCTCAAGCGAGACCCTGCTTGACTGAATGTCGAAGAATCGACCATTAAGCGTATTGCTGTGGTGTCTACCTCTCCTAACACATTAGTCATTTCGGTCAGACTACCAAATCCAAAGTTGAGCCATGAAGACCCGATGTCTAACAGCATATCCGCACCGCTGGATGTCTTTATAGCCCCAAATGCTTTGAACAGTTGGCTTGAGTTTGTTTCGAGTTCATCTGAACTATTAACCTTTAGACTTTTATGAAGTTTGATTCCAAGGACACTCTGGTCACGATACAACGGCTTTTTCAGCGTCTCAGGAGCAGGGAAATTGACGGATAGACCATTTTCAGTTATAAGCAAAGTATCATCTGCTTGTAAACCAACCGTACGTGATTCGGCATCCCTGTAGAGTGGAAAATCATAGTTATAAGGAATGACTGTTAATTTTTCATCCTCAACTTTTAGTTCATCATCATCAATGTTTAGGCTTACTGTTCGTGAGTCGGGAGCCCTATAGAGAGGTTGCAGGAGTGTCTCTGGTTTAACAGATAAGCCGTCTTCTGTTATAAGCAGAGTATCGTCTGTTACAAGCCTGACATCATGTTCATCATCAATTAATGGAAAAACATAAGTTGTCTCGGCAAGAGAGATGGTATATTTACCTTTATTTTTCTGAATGGAGAGACTAGGCATTTGACTATCCAAATCGAGTATAGTGACTATACCATCTTTATTCCGTAGGCTCTCTCCATAGATAGAATTGGCTTTAACTTTTCCGGACTTGAAATTATCTAGGACTTCTAAATTTCTTCGAACCGTATATGTGCCTTGAATGCTATTAGGCAAAGGCATCTTCTTATTCCTTTATATCATCATAGCTTAGAAAATGAATTGCATGCCGACATTTGGTCTATACAATGTCATCAAAGATCGATGGTGGTTTGGTACGCATGATATGCCTTCCGGCATATGGCTCTGCGCCGGGATCCCTGCCGGGATAGGCCACTCCGTGCCCGGCATGCCTGCCGGCATATGGCTCTGCGCCGGGATCCCTGCCGGGATTGGCCACTCCGTGCCCGACATGCCTGCCGGCATATGGCTCTGCGCCGGGATACTCATGTCCATTTTTAAAACGGACTACATCTGCGCGAGTGTGGTGAACGGGGCGATTTCTCTTTTTCTTGATGACTTTGACAACTTCCTCATAATCATCTGAAGAATCATCTTCTTCTTCGTCTGACGATTCCTCAACTACAATCTTCCATCTTTTTTTTGGTATCGGCGTTTTAATTCTTTTTTTAGTCTTGTGACTATATGAAGTATTTTGTAAGTCCTCCTCAGCGCGGAGCCTAGCCTCGACATGTTTTTCCTGTTCCACCCTAAGAGCCTCGGCCTTAGCAAGAATCCTCTCCTCCTCTTTTCTCTTCTTTTCTAGTTCTCTCTCTTCTTTTCTCTTGGCGGCGAGTTCTCGTCTAACCTGAAGAGCCTTTTCTCGGGATTTTTCTAAATGTGCTCGCTGCTTCTCTGATGCAGTTCGTTTTTTGGGAGCGCTGGCATTGACCTCTCCGGTATTAGGCTCTGCGCCGGCATATTTGTTTACAAGTTCTTGAACATAGTCTTGATGATCATCGTCATTAGTTTCATCATCATCATTCAAACTTTGTTCTTCATCTGTAATGTCAGGCATGCCTGCCGGCATTTGGCTCTGCGCCGGCATAGATTCCTTTTTTTTAGGCATTTTAGCTTGTAAATAGAAAATAAAAAAACCCAAATACGCTTAGCGAGGTTCTTTTGTCCATGATGATGGTATCTTATAAGAATTACTTGCCCACTCTTTCTTAAGTTCCTTGTGTACCTTACCATTTTTTCTAATCCAATTACCGGTTCTTGGATTGTAAACTTCCTGCAAGGATGATTCTCTCGGGTTTCTCCTCTCGTGAAGCCTTGGCGATGGCTGCATTGTTGTGAAGTCAAATGCAGATGATGATGGAGATGGTGAGTCATCCATCGGCGCTAGTGATGGTAAGCCTGAGGTTGGTGATTCAGATCGCCTATGTAGAACTAATTGTGTAGGTGGCGTGCCTCCTTCCTCATAAAAGATGTTCTCAGACAAAGCAGGAGTAGGTCGTATCACGCCACGTTGCATGTTGTATTCATCTCTTGAGGCAGAAATATCAGTACCCCTAGTGCCCAAGCCAGTTGTTTCTAGCAAACTCTCCCCAGGATTGTGAATACCATGTGAAGAGCGGAAACGCTGTATGTCAGCCAATTCCTTACGTTTTTCCTCTTTTATAAACTCTTCATAACCTTCGCGCATTCGTCGGATGCGTGCAATCAAATCTATGTCATTTTTGTATCCTTCACTACCGTGGTTTATCGGATACCTAGTTTCTTGATTAGCACTCGGAGCATTCATCCGGGTACGACCCTCCCGCATCTGTTTGAGTTCTGCATCAGACACAATGGGACGAAATGTATCAGGATTCAAAGAGCGTCCATTTTCATCTCTCAGTTCACCAAAACGTCTATTATCAATTTCAATATAGTATGGGTCACTGACAAATTGTGTATCAACCTTACCAAATGAACGATACTTGTTTAACAGCGGGTGCTTGAAATAGCCTGTAGGTAACTTTGAGTCAACCCATTTTCTTTTTTCTTTCCAGAACACATCACGTTCAACCTGCTCAGAGTTGTAAGCAGTTACATCAGTGTTACCTTGCTGTAGTAGTTTTACTAATTCGGCAACAGACATATCGTTCTATTCTGTATTTTACTATATAGTATTATTAAAAAAAAGAAGAATGTCGTCTCAGCAAAGGAAGGAACGGATACAAGAGCGTTTGAGGAAGAAGTTGGCTGAAAGGAATGAAGGGCAAGAAATGGAAACAGTTCTTTCTCGAATTATAAGAGAACTGGAGGAACCTCGCATGCCTGAGCCGGCATTAGCATACAGTAAGGAAACCATCATCCCAGACGCTGATGCGGGGGGTATTAACTGGAACGAATATGTTATTATTCATGAAAATCCTCTTTACAGTGATGACTTGAATGAAATCATTTGACGCTACTTTTTCTAAAAGTAGCATTAATACCCCGCTAATTCAACAGGAAGCGATTTCCTTAAGGCTGAATCAAAATTTTGTTGAATCTCATAGCCCCACCCTAGACCTTTATGGAGATCATCGATATAGCCTCGTCCTCATGAAATTGTCTCTCTTACTTTGACGGGTACAGATTCGTCATGGACAAGAGATTGATGAACTTTCCCATAGATATCTTTGGCTTGTCCAGCATGGGCAACAAATTGTCTAATACCGTTGTTAACTTTGTTATAACTGTTCAGCGCTCTAAGACCAAAGTTTTTTGCACTTGAGAGAAAGTTTGCGAATTTTTGACGCAACATCTTTTACATGTTCCAAATGAAAAAAAATTAATCATCTGCAAAGCCGGAGGAATGACAATCGAGAACTAAAGTGAACCCTTTGCCCTGTAGATCCAAGGGTAGCAATGTTTCTGCATCAAGCAAACGGATGTCGATCGTACTAACAAGGCCAGACTCTGTGTCAATGAAGTCGGTGTCAAAATAATTCTGCACACATAGGACAGTTTCAATTTCTTGCGACACCGGAATAGAGGCAATGATATTTAAATCATCTGCGCCTGCATAAATGACATCATTTGACCTTATGTTAGATGAGGCTACGAGCACCATCTTAACACCTGTCAAATCGATTGGATTCGCAAAAGTTATTGATCTCCCAGGGTCAGATTGCTGCGTCTGAACTAATCCGAGCAGTTTGCTTGCTGTGGTTTGAGGGTAGAGAACTTTGAATGGTGTTGTACCCGCGGTCACTGTGATTTGATTGTTTATATGATTGTATTCTACAGTGTATGCTTGCGTCCCTGTAGAGTTGAATCCAGCAGTCAGTGCATCCACTAAATCATCTGGAGAGTAAGTACCAGGAGGTATAACGAAAGTCCTTGCAGCATTACCCATCCCAGCATCATAAAAGGAGACAATATTGTTCTTGTCGTTTACTATGTCCCACGAAAGGGGCAAAATGATTGAATTGTATCGAATTTTATCACATGCAATGGGTTCGGCTAGAGTCCATTTAGGTTCATTCCTGTTTCCGTTCGTCGCTCTGTTGCTATCGAGAATCAACTTTTTCATTTCTTCTAATGTATTATAGATACAGAGAGCAAATAAAAAACAAGTGCAATGAAGCCAATCACAATTGCCCCCTTACCTAGTCAAGTCTCTGGATGAATAAAGGATAATACAGATCCACGGCTTCCTAGAAAGTATGGTTTTATCGTATACAATGGCGCTCGATTTAGCGGTAAAACGCTAAACATTGCTGTGATATGCAAATTGTTCTTGAAGAAGCAGTATTCGAATATCATAATATTCACACCAAATCCACATGACACCAATTGGAACCCTTTAAGAACGAGCAAAAAGGTTCATATATTTGACAAGATTTCCAATGAAATACTCAATTTTATACACGAAGAGCAACTTTATGAATTTGTTCGAAGCGGAAGAAAACGAGATTTACTTCTTATCATAGATGACTACAATATGCAGAAAGGACATAAGAAGTCACTCGATGAGTTGGCTACACGGGGTAGACATGCTGGAATCACCTGCATCCTGTCGAGTCAATATTTTTATCACAATAGTCCCGCTGTCCGTAGCAATGCGACGAACTGGATCATTTTTAGACCTTTGAAAAGTGAACTTAAGAAAATGATCGAATCAGGCTTATCTCTCGCTTTACCTGAAGATGTATTTGAAAAGTTCGTTATGGATAATACAAAGAAACCGTTTCATTTTGTGCACATAAATCTACAAAGTTCGAAAAGACCATTTAGAGTTGGTTTTTTGTAGGGGGATAGGCTGTCCCCCTTTGACCCCCTCGCTTTGACAACCATTGTAACTTGTTAAGCTACACCGACTGAGTTCAGGCTATTTAGGACAGCAAACTCCTTTCCGAAAGGCACAATTTTTGATGTCACTTTTTCTTAAAAAGTGACGTTTTTTTTTTCTAGATGTGTAAGTTAAACCACAATGTCTTCAGGAATTCAGGTAACTGAGGTTCGACGAGTCCCAAACGTCTTTACGTATAAGCGCAATGCCAAGAACGGGGTTGTGCTGAATTTTCAGCCATCTAGTCAGGTTCGCTTCGAGCCTACCAACGGATCGGGTGACTGTAACTTTGGCAGCAAAATCACTTTTAAAATAGCCGATGACAAGCGTTTTTGGCTTGTGAATGAAACCTTACATAAATATCGTGTCGTAGGGCTTGATGCAAATAGACAGGAAATCGTTTCTGCCACTGCAACCCACAGGCTATGTCAATCAGGAACAGATGCTGTATGGAAACGCCAAAGTGTTCTTATTAATGGAAGGATCATCGAAGATCTCAATGATTATAATTTGTTCACCGCACATGAAAACGCTCTAACATCGTGGGAAACCAAACAACATCTTGGGCAATGTGAATATTATTCGAGTGATGCGGCTAACGACCGTTCAGCAGTGGTTGCTAAAAACAGGGCATACACTGTCACTGGCTCATCACTGTCATTCTTTCAAAATGAAGTGGCTTTCCCTCTCTGTCTTGTCAAAGGTGGTGTCCAGGTCGAGATGACCGCAGAGAGTGAACTTGCCAAAATTTTCCCCACATCCACAGGAATAGATTCATTCAAGATTGTCCAGAACGAACTCATTTGCCAGTTCGCCGAGCCCATACCCGAATACTACAACAAGATCCTTAGCCTAATGGAGAGCAACGAATACTTGACCATCCCCATGCAAGTTGTGTGGAGTCAGGAGTTTGCTGGGCAAGCCAGTCGCGTACAGCAATTGTCACTTGTGACTGGTGAGCAGTCCTCTGTTTCGTCATTGATGTTGGTGACAACTGACAATGTTCGAACTGATGTAGACAAATTGAATTTCAGTGAAGATGCTGGGATTAGAACAGTTAGTATCCAGGTGGGTACGCAGCGGTTCCCTGAGGGAAAAGCGATTGCCAACGGTTCCGCTCGTGCTGGTACTAATATTATACCTACTGTAGATCCTGAAATGTATGCATTAAGCCAACGTAATAAAGATTTCAATGATGTGCGATTTGCCCCCACTATGTCCGATTTGGAAGGATGGGCACTAGCAGGCAAAAAGATACAGCATTGGTCATGGAGGCAAAATTTCAAGCAAAGTCCAGATATGATCGGCGGTGGTTTGAATACTCTAGCCGATGGGCGTATTCTCATCAATGTGAGTCAATATCCCAACCCTCCAGAAGTAGCCGATTTTCCAAGCCCTACTCTAGCGGATGGTACTACGGCTAACCCCGATTATATTCAGACATTCAAGGACAAGACATTCCATGTTTTCTGGACAACTGACCATGAGATGCGCATCGACCGTGATGGTGTTCGCTTGTTACCAGCATAGTTCAACAACAGGAACCACGATGATTTTTTCTAAGCTTTGGTTAGGTAAGCCTCAAGAAGAATATGACAAAAACACATCGAAAACTCGTCAACGTATCGGCCATGCCGAATAAAGGACTTAGAGCGGCTGCTCGTGCAAGAAACAGGCGCATCATCGCTGCTAGAAAAGCCGCAGCAACACGTAAGCGACGCTACGGTTCTGGAAGAGTCGTGAGGCGTGTTGTTTATGTTTAAAAAACGGCGCCAAGAAATGCCAAGACTATGCCGGCAGGGATGCCAAGATTCTTTCCATTGAACGGAAGGGCGTCCCTGAGTACAAGCCGGTGGCATAAAAAGGCACTCGGTGTATCTTTTCTCCCATTAGCACGAGTACGGGTTTGAAACATCAGGTATGATTTGAAACATTTAACTGAATCTGAAACATCAGATACGTGTTCTGAAACACGCGCCATAATTCTGAAACATCTAACCGAATCTGAAACATAGCTACATTTTCTGAAACACCTAACCGAACTTGAAACATGTCCATTGCAAAGAGTCAATGGGGGCAAGTGACGCACTTTGTAGGAGGCTTGCTACATCCCATAGCGCGTCGTGCTCTCAAGATGGGTCTAGAGGATCTCACCTTCGAGCAAAGCGAGTGTTTATTAGAAAATATGGCTGATAATCAGAAGATATATAAGGATGACAAGGAGTTGCTAGAATCACTTAAAGGTCATCTGAGACGACTCCTAAAGCGGAAGAAGCGAGAAGAGACTCAACGGAAATCTTCATCTCTCAAGTTAAAGAGGAAGTTTGAAGAGTTCGAAGAGTCCGATGGTGAAACCTTGAGTTCTGGTTCTTCATCTGATGCTGACGATTCCGATGATGCCGATGACAGCGATTACAGTCCACAAAAGGCTAAACGCAGACGTGTCGAGAAAGAGAGTATGCCAGGCGCGGAGCGGTCAAGCCCGGTGCAGACCCATATCCCGGCGCAGAGCCATATCCCGGCGCAGAGCCATATGCCGGAAGGCATGCCGGCAGGCATCCCGGCAGGCTTTCCTGAGCCTGAGCGTGATGGGGATTCCGCTAATTTAGAGCAAATGCTCATGGAGCGTATCGAGCAGCAGCAGATGCAGATTAACGCACTCATAGCAGCTAGCATCCCTAAGCGCAGAAAGAGCGTCAAGGCTAAAGTGAGCGATCAGGACATTGTCCATGCTGATGTTATCAATCCTCCAGATGTAGGAAGCAGTAGCGCCGCTGCTTGATTCTCTTCAATTACCGTTGACACACGCTAAAAAATCCATGAAATCAACAAAAAAATTATGTCGTCCGTTTGAAGAACAGACATGGAAACAACAAAACCAGAAAAAAAATACAAAACGACAAAAACAGTCTGTAAAGGTGTTTCGTAGCACAATGTACATAGATATCCCTTTGTTTAGCGTCATGTAGGGGCGTTGTTATAGAGCTTTTGTACAACGTTTGCTAATAAACACACACGTTTAAACAAAGAGAAATAATATTTTGTATACACAATATATTTTAACATGGGACGCAAATCAGGATCGATAAACACGAAGGATCGCTACAGGGTATACAAGATCGAAGAAGATGGTTCTAGAACATTTGTAAATGACTATCGGGCAGCCATAGAGATTGCTAACAGGTTAGGTGTCTCGTGCTCGTACATTCATAATATAATACATGGGTTAGCAGAATCGCCTATTTCAAAGATGTATGCTATAGAAAAGTTACCATGTATACGAAAACCACCACCTCCTCCTAAGCGGAGATGCTTTAAAATAAATCGAAAAGTGGCTATTCCTGATGATCCAGTAAAAGTTGCTCACTTCGCATGAACATCCCTGCCGGGATTGGCCGCTCCGCGCCCGGCATGCCTGCCGGCATGCCTTCCGGCATATGGCTCTGCGCCGGGATATGGCTCTGCGCCGGGATCATTCGAAGAACAAATACGTTTAAAGCTTTGAAAATATTTATTTTTTAACACTATATATTTCTATTTACTATGTCTTTGATTTTTGACCCAATCGCAAACAGAAACGTAAAAGAAGACTCGAAGCCTTTCGAGAAGATGATGCGGAAGATCGTCTCTGGAAACTTCTCACGTAAGAACTGGACTAAGAAACGACGAGAAGCACTAGAGAACCTTCAAATACATCGAGTACCAAGATTCCTACAATCTGAGTGAGAAAAAAGAATTGCTGCAGCGAGACGCACTGAGGCTCAAAAGCAGGCTATTGCTGAAAAGGCCAGAGAGACGAGAAGGCTTAATAAAGAAGCGGAAGAGCGCGAGATGAGAGAAATTCAAGAGAGGGCTCAGGCTGCTATTAAAAAGCGAAAGGAAGCCGCTGAGAAAGGCGCTGCCACTAGAAAACAAATAGCCGATTATGCAATCGAATGGACACATCTTCTTTACTGGTGTGAGATGAACACGGCTCCATTTTATAGTGAGCGTGAATATACGGAAGGTGACCGATTTGCCAGATCAAGGGATCATCGTTACAAAAAAGTACAAGATCTTCGTAGGCAGAAAAAAGGTAACTGGATGCATGAGATAGATCAAAAGGAGAATGATTTCGAAGAAAATCATGGTGTGTTTGGAAGACAAGAACCTCTGCATGAAGAGGATAAAAACTTTCCACACTTTCGGGAATCACTGAGTAAACAAAGTAACCATGTCTTCAAAAATGTTCGCGGGAAAATGACACCTAAGAAAGCACAAAAGTTAATCGAGGAATATGAAGAAACTGACGGATGCCTTGCCATGTACAGAGACGACGAGTACAATGACTTCATTCGCATTGAAACATATGTGTTCTCTGTCATCGATGTCACGACTGATGCAAAACTTGTAGATATGATACTGTTTGATGAAAAGAAGGATCTTACAGATGGCATGCCCATACACCCTGACGGAATTCCTCAGGGGCGTTGTTTGATTAAAGCCATCAGGCATACCTGGGGCTATAGTTCACAAAATCGAAAAGGATGTAGAGAGATTATGGATGACCAATGGCTCATGAATGCTCTTAGAATCGAGTCTTTGGACAACGGAGCAAGCGCACGGAATATGCCAAATCTGGCATTTGAACTGATGAAATTAGGCTATGGTGCATCCTACTATATGATAGATTGTCTCAGGAACTTCATCGCTCGTATCAATTGTTCGAATGAATCTATCGAACAGAAAGGTGAGGTAATGAAGAAGATTGTAGGTAATCAGTGGGCGTTTAAATGGACTTTACCAGCCCTTTATGGTTGGGTATATGATAACCATTTCGCAGAGATACATGATGTGAAATTTCAGCAATCATTACGCGAACGGGTAAAGGCTGAAATGATCCAGTCTGAAAATGTAGATGTCAGCAAAAAGAAGAAGAAGAAGAAAGATCCCGGTGCAGATGTAGAGAGAGAGAATCCCGGCAAGGATGTTCAATGGATCTTTGTTGAAACAAACTGTGACTTGAAATCGACGGTAGATGATATTTGTGAGCAAGAAGCAACCAAATCAGATAAACATCGTGTGTACATACTAAAAGATTTCAATGAAAGCCACTTGATTGAAAGTGTCTTTCTAGAATACATTAAACAAACCCTTGTCATCCCTAAGGTTCGGAATGTCATTTCTAGCAAAGGAAGCGATTGTTGCGTCAAAGATATAATCCTCCCAGGCGGAAACGAAATACGTCTAGACAACAATTTTACAAAAAGAAGAGAGATCTCCGAGAAACTCGCAGTGGACTTTAATGATAAAACGCTACCAGGAATAGCATCTGAAGTTCTTCAAAGAATGTATCCAAATTTCAAAAAGTCAATGTTGTCACGCAATTTACTCAGGATTCTTGAGAGCGATGGTAAACCGAGTATTTTCTATGGACGATGTGGTTCGGAATCCTCGTTCGCCTACAG